CAATCGATAAATGTTCCGGAGGAGCGACCTACGGAAAGATCCAGAGAGATGAATATTTTGTTGTAGAAACCTATGGTTTAGAACTTTTCAAAGTACTTACCTTGAGTTGAAAACTTAATACAAATTCTTTCATTTTAATTAAGTGCACATTTCTTGGTAAATTTTAATTTCGAGCGATTTTTTTGTTAAAAATTTTGATACTGAATTTGTCATGTAAGAAATGTAAGTCATTTTCAAAATTTAAAACTGCTCTCATTAACTACTTTTTAGAAAAACATTGCTTATAAATTTCATACTTTCATTCAACTTATTATTTATAAACCTAATTCTGAGCTCCTATTTATCTAATTTTTTTCTTTTCTGTTGTGATTTAATATTTTTTGCTAAACTTATTAAATTTAACAAAAAAATATTAAAACACAACACTGTTGTGTTTTAATATTTTTATATATAATTTAAAAGCAATATTTTTCTAAAAAATAGTGAATGTTATAAAGTATAAATAACCAGTTATTTATTATTTTAATCTTTCTTAAACTAAAGTATTTTCTCTTCATCACTATAATTGTTAATATTATTATTACTATATTTTTATCATTATAAATATTATGATTCTTACTGTTATTAATATTGTCATAATTTTTTTTTATATTACTGTTTTTGTTATATTACTGTTGTTGTTATTATTATTGTTGTTGTTACTGTTATTTTTGTTATTATAATTATTAAAATAGTATAGTGTATACTTTTTATAATCTTTACTATTACTTTTAATCGCTGTTATTATAACTATTATTTTTATTTACTCCTAATTGCGTTATAATTGTTATTAATATTACTTCAATAATAATAAAATGATGCAAATAATATTAGCATCATTTTATTAGTATTAAATTTTACAGGTGTTTATTTCATATTACTACTTATTACTATTTGTAAATAACCTTGATCTATCAACTTTATTCAGAATATATTTGATTTGATTTATTTTGATTACTGAAAATTTGAAATTTAATGAAAAATAATAAGGCAAAAGCATTTTTATTCATTTATGTATATATATATATATATATATATATATATATATATATATATATATTTATATATTTATATATATATATATATATATATATATATATATATATATTTATATATATATATATATATATATATATATATATATATATTTATATATATATATAAAGAGAGAGTGAGAGAGAGAGAAAGAAAGAAAGAGAGAGAAATATATTATATAATATATATTTATATATATATTTATATATATAGAGAGAGAAAGAAAGAAAGATATATATATATATATATATATATATATATATATATATATATATATATATATATATATATATATATATATATATATATATATATATATATATATATATATATATATATATATATATATATAGAGAGAGAGAGAGAGAGAGAGAGAGAGAGAGAGAGAGTGCTCAATGTTCTTAAAAAACAGAGCAATAATAAATTAGTAAAAAAACTTATCTAATTTTTATCTTTGAGAGCTTATTTTTCCATCAGTAGGTTTATCAGGAAGCCTGATCAACTATTGAACCTACTGATAAACCTTCCTCATGAGCCTACTGATGGAGAAACACGTTGTTGAAGAATAAAACTAGATGTTTTTACTATATATATATATATATATATATATATATATATATATATATATATATATATATATATATATATATATATATATATAAATATATGTATATATATATTTATATATATATATATATATACACATATATATATATATACACATATATATGTATATATACATATATATATATATATATATATATATATATATACACATATATATATATATATATACACATATATATGTATATATACATATATATGTATATATACATATATATGTATATAATTTTTCTATAATTATTTTTTTATAAGTTTTATATATATATATATATATATATATATATACATATATATATACATATATATATATATATATATATATATACATATATATATATATACATATATATATACATATATATATACATATATATATATATATATATATATATATATATATATATATATATATATATATATATATATATATATATATATATATATATATATATATATGTATGTATGTATGTATGTATGTATGTATGTATATATACATATATATGTATATAAGCTTTCATAAATGAAAGTTAATAAACAAATTAAACTTTTTAGATTAACTTTACAAATTTTCATTTAGTAATGTGTTTGAAAAGGAATTTAAAGTGTTTCCAAAGTTTGTTATTGAGCTAATTAGAAAAAGGCACTTATACTAGATTTATTAGGACTATTTATTGATCCAAAAATCAGATCAACTTTAGTATTAGACATACTCAAAATGGACAGGCAAAAGAAATTTCTCTATTTAAAATTTATGCCGAGGTTATTTGAAATTCGAAATATTAAAATAAGTGGTCAAACTATAAACAGAATTATTAAAGTTCTAAAAATTACCTTTGATGCTTGAATATGGTATGAGCTCATGAAAATGTATACTTGGTATTTAAAAATTAATTGAACCACCTCGATGTTGGCTCAAATATTTTTGATAAAGTCAGATAACAAAATACATCAAAAAATTTTCTTCTTATTCAGGAAGTGTTTAGACATTATGTACAACTTGTTTCCAGAGTTTCTCATATTGTCTATGGTATGGAAGCACATCAAAACTAATTGTGGATAAAATTCTAATCAGAAAGCATCAAAAGAGTTTTATGTTTAAATGTTTATTTGTGTCTAAATAAATTTTTGTTACAAGAATTTGAGTTTGTGTATAATACTATTAATTATTTAATATTTAAAGTCATTTTTTGTTAAAGTTTATTTATGCAATTTTTCCTATTTTTTCTGTGTGTATAGATTGTATAATATAAAATGTGTGTAGATTTTCTATATTTATATCAGCATAATTTTATAAAATAAAGAATGATTAAGTACCTAATTAATTACGTAAAAAAAAAGAATAAAAACTTTTAATTCTTTAATTTTATGTATTTTATTATAAAGACCAAGACCAAAATAATCAAGGTCAAGGCCAAAAACTTCAAAGCCGAGGCCAAAAGTTTCAAGGCCAAGGCCTTGGTTTTTGGTCTTAAGGCACGGTCAAGGCCAAGAACTAATAACTCTGGTCTAAAGAAACCTCTATATAGAAAATAGTATAAATTATTTTTATAAAAAAGCTATACAAGTTTTGTTATAGGTTAGGGTGAAAAATTAATGACAATTCCATTTTATTACTTTTAAATTGTATTCTTAACAGTTTAAATACTGTTTGAACAGTTTTACTTCTCGTGGTTGTCTCTGATTTGCCAAATATTATAAAGCAACAAAATATTCTTCATCAGAATCAGAACAGTCTAAGTCCGAATCCATAAGAAACTGTTAATTTTTTTAACTGATGTTTTCAACTCAAAAACATTTTGTTTTTGAGAACCTTTTAAGTTATTGATTCAGACAGTAGATTTCCGAAAATAAATTCAGAGCATAGATATCTTCAAAATTTTACGCCGGTAAAAGTTTTATAGCATCGAATGAAAAAACATATTACGTCTCTAAATGCACGGCTGTAAAAATTCCTGAGTAAAAATTCCGCCGGTAGAATTTTACGCCGATAAAAAGTTTTATAACATTGACCCCAGCTGTTGTTATGAGTGATACAAGTTTACTTAGAATCAAAAAAAAAAGTTTATAAATTTAGTTTTCCACCTACAGATAACAAAATACAAAAACCAATTCAGTCTAAATTATTCTTTCCTACTGTTTCTAAGAACACTTCAGATATAGATAAGTCTGGTATTTGTAATAAAACAGCTAAAACTAAAGTAATTATCACAAAAGACGCCAACAACAGTGATAAAAACACTCTTAAGTCTTATGCTCCATTAAAGGAAAACAACGTTGTTGATATTAGTTTATAAAATACAAATCAGTTAGCATCTTATTCAAACTATGATGTTTCATCATACCATCTACATGGTAAAAAATTAAAATTAGGAACAAATGATCATGAACTGTTATCTCTAATTAACAATGTCTGGGTTTTGGAGAAATGCTTCCAATTCCCTTTAACAGGTAAAAGCAGAAAAAGACATTTTTTACTAAAATGGTGAGATAATTTTTCTTGGCTTTGTTTCTCTAAAATTGAAGATGGTGCATATTATCTTCCATGTACACTTTTTAGTACAAATTGACCAAACAAATATGCATTATGTAAATTGTTTATTGAACCGTTCAATACCTGGCGTAATGCTGTAAAAATTTTCAACGATCATGAGAAAACTGTTGATGGATTAAACATCAAGGCTATGCATTGTTATAATATGCTTTTATCTAGAGCTAAAAATAACACTTTTCCTATTGAAGTTTCTCTAGATATTTTTAGGAAAGCTCGAATTAATTTTTAAGACTATAATTTTTTTAGCTCAAAATGATATGCCTTTACAAGGTCATAGAGACGATAGAAAATATCAAAGAGAAATTGGATAATCTTCAAAAATTACAGGGCCAGATAATTGAGCTTTTAAACTTTAGAGTTTATGCAGGTGATTTATTTCTAAAGGAGCATCTTCTCTCTGCCCTAAAAAATTCCACATATTTCAAAGACCATTCAAAACGAGTTAATTGAGTATTGTGGAAATGCAATTGCAAGAGGTTTTATTAAATGATATTTAAAAATAAGTACTTTTCCATTATTGCAGATGAGACTTCAGACTGTGCAACAATAGAACAACTCTCTATTTTCATACGTTGTGTTGATTTGAACAGTAATATTAAGGAAGTTTTTTTACAATTTTTTAAAATGCAAAACAGGAACAAGTGGTTTAAACATAGCTACCAACATTCTTAAAACTTTAAAAGAATTTGGTTTAGATATAAGTAAATGCAGTAGCCAGTCTTATGATGGAGCTGCTTCAATGTCAGGTGAATACAAAGGTGTTTCATCTCTTATAAAAAATGTTTATCCTAAGGCATTATTTGTCCACTGTGCCTCACATAAACTTAGTTTAGTTGTTGGAAAAAGTTGCCAAATCCAGCAAGTAAAAAATTTGCTTGAACAAGTTATTTTTTTAACTTTTCTTCTAAAAGAAGTAATTGCTTTAAATTGGTTTGAATACCAAAGAATCAAAATAACAACAAAAATTGCAAAATAAATGCATAAATCTTTTGCCATTTGTTTTAACTTGTTCGGCAAATTGTGCTCTTAAGCGTGTTCAAAAGTTGGCAGTTGATCAACCGTGATATCAAGAATTAGAAGACATAATTATTGCATAAGCAGTGTCGCTCAGAGCAGTAACGCGGTCAATTGTAATGTTGCCTTAAGTGTAATGAAAAAAGAACATTGATTTTTTGGTTTTTGTGGGAGAAATTGTGTGGCGCCAGATATAAAACAAAATTTTTATAAATAATGGCATTAGAATTACCATTGCAATGAAGACCCATGCTAACACGTAGTTAAGTAAAATAAACACACTTCCTAAAATAAAAAATATAATATTAAAAATATTTTGTAAACACAAAATATTTCAAAATTTTTGTCGCTCAGCTTTGGTCCAACTGTGTAGTTCAACATGAAGAATACTAGGATGCTTCATAGAGTATAACAAAATGAACAAATCTATAAATTCCACGAGTGCTAGTAACGAACAGGTAATCCAAACTGGAATTCTTTTGCCAGAATAATGTCCTTCAAGTGATAAAGAAAGTGGCAAGAGCGAAGTAATGAAAATTGTCATCATTGTCATAAAAAGCAATATGCCGTCCACTCTTTTAACAAATAACGACCGTATATTGATGGATTCCTATATTGTTAATACCACCAAGTAGCCAAGCACAAACAAAACAAAGTCTGTTTAATTTTCGTATAAAAGTTCTTCTAAAAGTGTACGAGGATTTATATCTTTTATTTTTCTCAATGGAATCACTAAAAATGTTGCGCATGTTGCCATTATAGCATCAACATAACCAAGCATTCTTTGTGGGGAAACTAAGTCGCCACGATGAATTGAGTCAGGCATTATTTCATTTAAATGAAAATCGTAGTTTTCATCTAGACGCTTTAACTTCTCTCGATAGTCGATTATGGCTAAAGTAAGTTGATCTTCTTCTACTGATCTTTTTTTTTTTTAATAAATAATCTTGAAAATACTTTTGGTTCCGAGCTTAATATGTTTCTTTTTTGTACTGATAATAAACTATCAGACTTTTCACAAAAAGTTGTCAATTTTGTAATCTCCAAAAGACTTCATTCGTTTTTGAACTCCATTTTATAGTAGCATAACACTCTGGAACTTCGTCGTCGCGATAAAATTTTGTTCGCCAAGTCAAAATAACATAAGCATGTTTTTTTGTCGTGATAAAAAAAATATATTATAGTTGTTATAACATTTATGAATTTTAAAATTGTTCTACTTTATTAAAGTAAAACTGTTTTTAACCAAAGTTGGACTTCAGTTCTTTTTTTAACAAAGTTCTTTAGTTCTATTTAATAAAACGCGCTGCATAAATTTTTTTAATCAGTACAGATTTATTAAGACAATTTTCATGGTAAATCCGCAACAAAATTGTTTAACGGACTATGACCAACAGGAATTAATGTATATAGGTATATATGATTTCTATTGTTTAACTTATTCAGAAAAAAAAACATTGTTAAAATTTTTTTTTTAGTTATATAGCTTTATCACATTGTTTATATTATAAATTTTAATTTGTTTATAAAAATTTTTTTTTCTTGATAATTTTACTATGGTTTTGTATAAAGCCATAAACAAATAAATAAAAAAAAAAACCTTAAGACGTTTGCTGAAAAATTTAAAAACTTGAAATATAATTAGGACCATTGTCCCAGTTTTTAAATATGAAAGGGCAGCGATAAACTAATTAAAATAAGAATTTTTATTGTGTTCTTTATTAAAAATTGGTTAACTGTTCATTAAAGCAGTAGTGCATAACAGTTTTAAAGAATGACTAATTCATATTAAAACATTATTATAATTAATGATTTCAAATCATAACAAATATAAATACATTAGTGGACGAACAGCTCCTGGCTCACTCGGGTATTAGGGCAAAATTAAATGCAGAGTCCATTTTATTTAAAAACCACAAGAGCTAAAAGATTTCTGGAATATTATTACCAAAGAAAAACCCTCATTTATTGCTTTTGCTCTTAAAAAAACCAAATTTAGTAAGCAATGTTTTCCTCTTTCTTCTTTAAATTCTTTTATCATTTTTTGCTTTCATTTTTACAGAACCCAATAAGTTCTCGCTTTCTGCTGTTGTTATAATAATAATAATAATAATAATAATAATAATAATAATAATAATAATAATAATAATAATAATAATAAAAATTATTATTATTATTACTTTAATTGATTTTTTCTCGAAATAAGTAAAAAGCATCTAGTACGTTTGGGTAGTACTGAATAAAGTGTTAATACTAACATATAACTAACAACTTTGTTTAATGTAACTAGAAATTTACTGGGAAAAAAATAAATACAAAAATGGCTAATTTGATTTTATAAAGAAAAAAAAAAAAAAAAGAAAATTCACTGTTTATCTAACAACTAGTTAATAAAAATAATAAAATAAATTTTTTTTTTTTTTTTTTCAAGTTTATTTTTTCAAAAATTGAGATTTTCAACATTTGAATTTTTTTATCAACAAAACTCTTTTCTGGATTTTATATGTTGTTTTATCAATAAAGGCACGCTTTTAGTTGATCTCAAAAATAAACTTGTTCTAAGTAAACCTACCTTGCTTTAAGTAAACCTACCTTCTAATTGTACGTTAGATTGAATTTAACTCTAAATTTTTTTAAATAGTGTTACTAGAGATGAACGTTTTCTTTTCAGCTTCACGAATTATTAACTAATATTCTCAGTAAGTTTTTTTTTTCGAAGAATGTTTCGAAACCTCTAGTTTCCACACATTGATGAGGTTTAAGAGTGAGGTCTTGAACTATTCCAACAGAACGCTCAGTTATTCTTAAAATCTCTTTAAATGTAAATGTTCACTATTTTTGAGTTGAAGAATTACTAAGAGCTGAGATGCGATGTAATTTTCTAACCAGAAAAAAGTTTAAAAATAAATAAAACAATTAATGAACATACAGTGTTTCAAAATATACTGTATTATATTACTCAGTGGTGTATGAAGGTCATAGCAGTTGAATGAGGTTTACTGTTTGGGTTAGGGATTTGTTGGGGATGGGTGGCAGTGATCCTCCTTTAGACTAAATATAGAATTGGGCCAACTTTTTCTCTACTTTTTTTTCAACACATACATTTTTACTGATAACCAGAGTCAACCCACATATTTAAATAGTAGCAACAGCTGAAAATCAAAGTGAAAGATTTATTTCTTCAGTATTTTTTCCACTAAATTTCTAGCTACTATAAACAAACTTGTTAGTTACACTGGCAAAATCAATGAGAAATTAATAATTATATATATGCGTGTATATTGTTAAGTTATATTTTAATATATTGTTTAGTTATATTATAATATCTTAACTTTTTTTTGTTATTCATGTTTAATGATTTTACACCAACCGCTATGATATCTTTTCATAAAAAAGTATAAGTTATTAACTATAAGTGAAAAATATGTATGTTTAAATTTGGTTATTATCAATAGGTAACTATAGGCCGGGTGAATAAAAACGAGCAATTACTTTTACTCAGTAATTGGTCAGCTTTACGTGAATAAAAAATAAATTAATTTTTCCTAAGTTTTTATTTAAGTAAAGCCGAACAGTTGAAATTTTTATTCGCGTAAAGTAAATTCTTAACTTTACGTGAATAAAAATTTGAGCAAAACTCTTAATGTTTTTATTCTCGTAAAGCTGACCAATTAACGAGTAAAAGCAATTGCTCATTTTTTTTCACTCAGCCTTATAAGTATGTTTATTAACTAAGATGATTAACAAATTAAAACTTTATTCATTATAATTTATTTACAATGACTAATTTACTTGAATTAGTTTATTACATAGTCTTAAAAAATGTGTATAGCATTGATTTTTAGAATAATTCAGAGATAAAATATCTCAGGGGATTATTGTTACAATCCTAAAAAAATAATAACGTAAGGAAAAGATTTTCCTTTGTAAAACCCTCGGTATAAGTTGGCGCAAGCTATAAAAATGGTTAATAATGTACAATTAAGTGCAAAATTTATAGAAATTTTTTCACAATTTATTTTGGCAACAATATCAATATAAAAACTTATTATTTTTATTAATAAGCTACTTTTTTATTTGCTAAAAAAAACCCCTAAAATTGTTCTACTTTATTAAAGTAAAACTGTTTTTAACCAAAGTTGGACTTCAGTTCTTTTTTTAACAAAGTTCTTCAGTTCTATTTTATAAAACGCGCTGCATAAAATTTTTTAATCAGTACAGATTTATTAAGACAATTTTCATTGTTCATCTGTTTGTTTTAAATTTTTTGTAAAAAATAAATTTTTTTTAATATTGCTAAAAATTAAAAAAAAAATGAATCTTCTAAATATATATATATATATATATATATATATATATATATATATATATATATATATATATATATATATATATATATATATATATATATATATATATATATATATATATATATAATTATCGGCAAACACTGAAAAAACCAAGCACATTCTTTTTCATTCTAACCTTTAAAAATACCTCCCGATTTACCTTCGCTAAATATAGATACTAAAGAAATAGAGAGAACCCAAGCAACTAAATTTCTAGGGATACTTATTGATGAGAACATCTCATGGAAATCACATATAGATATATTAAATACCAAAATATCAAAAAGCACTGGTATCCTTTACAAAGCTAGTTCTGTCTCCTGATCATTTAAAGTTCCTATACTTCTCGTTCATACAAAGCTTCTACATATACGCTATGCTGCATGGGAAAGTACTCATAAATCCAAACTAACCACACTATATCGAAAACAAAAAAAATGCTGTATGAACAGTTTAATTATAATAAGGATAGTCTCTCGCATGCTGAGCCACTTTTAAAAAATTTGAAAGCATTAGATGTATATGAAATCAATATATTTCAAAATTTGTTGTTTATGTTCAAATATAAACTTGGACTTGTTCCTTCCCAGCGGGCACAGACGTCAATCAGACGTCTTACGGACGTCTTAACTAGGTCGCGACGTCTGTGACCAAATTAGGACGTCCTAAAGATATCCGGTAAAGACGTCTGTGGTAGGACGTCCTAGTGACGTCTACATTTAGAGATTATCAGGACTTCCATATTTAGGCGTCCTATTGACGTCCCTAAGACCTACTTTAGAAGTCCTAATTACCTTAGAAATAAAACTTCTCATAAAAATTATGCGCTATCTCGGTTAATTAAAAATGTCTGCTTGTTTTAGTTAATTATTTTGATATAAGTAACTTTGGTTGGTTGTTTATCGTTTAAAGATATTTTCCAATTTTCTATATTCTATAATCCATAATCTATACAATATTGAAATAAATAAAAAATTTAGTTTTGTTATTAAGTGTAAATAAGTTGCCAGTGTTGTAGGGGAATTTTAACAAAAGATATCAAAATTGCAACTAGACGTTTCACATTGTATTTTATAGAATAGTAATGATACTTTGTGTGTCTGTGTAATTTAACCGGTTTTTAATAAAATCCACTACATTTGAATTGATTTTATAGCATGTTAGTACAGAGGTAGCCAGTATATTATTTTACTTATAAAAAGTCAATTTGTTTCAGAAAATTTATATAAAATAAAAAACTGGCTACTTCTGTAGTAACATGGTCTAATCAATGAGTCTCTAAGAACACACAAAATCAATGATCGACTTTTTTTTTTTTCTTTTCTTATTTTTTAATTTATAAAGTGTATTATTTACTAAATAATATGCAAAAATAATTGAGAATTTCAAAAATTATCATATGTAATAAAAAGATTTAAGGAAAATCTACTTTTTTTACCAATGAAAATCCCGCACTTAAAAAGACAAATTTTAAATAAACATTTTTTTATTAATTAATACTAAGTTGAATTAGTTAAAAAATATTTAAAACATCAAAGTTGGAAAAAAATTTCAGAAAAATAAAATCCTATTTCCGCTTCGCGACGCATAGTGCGGGGTTAGGTTAGCTCCAATCACCTAAACTTTTTGCAAGTCATCTTCATTTGATACTAGTATCAACATACTAGAAATTTGAGTATGCCACGTGGCTCTTAGTTACCTATCTTAAAGAAAAAAACTACTGGGCACTCGCCTAAAATACGTGATTTATTCCCAGGACCCCAGTGAAAACAGTCGTTTTTTACATTTTGGGAATAAGGAAGAATCTTCTGATTGATAAAAATAAAAAAATAAAAACTGGTCCCCTACAGTCTATTAGTTACTCCTTCTGATAATAAACAATAAAAATTTCTAGGGATTTAATGTAAGGTTTTAGAGCATATTTACATGGACCATGTCCAAGTCAAATAGTTGATATTTTGTATAAATTTTTTTAGTCATATAAGTTTAAAAATGTATGCAGAAATATAATATATTTCTGCATAAATTTTTAAACTATAAATTATAGTTTAAAAATTTATCCAATCCTGCCATTTTAAAAGCCAAAACCTAAGTTGTTGCAAAATAGTTTATATTTAATATTATTGTATCTCTTTCGATCGTAGCTACCTCTAATAAGCTATACAATCGGCAAGTATGCCTATAAAGTTGAGTTTCCACTCACCCGTTTTTCTACGGGAACGGGATAGGAAAGGGAAAAATAATCACGTGAGCATGCGTAGTTTTACTTTGGACATACTAAAACTTATAATAGGCATGCCCACGTGATTATTTTTTTCTCCCCATTCCCGTGGAAACTCACCTTAAAAAAGTGAAAAGTTTATATTGATGTCAAAAACCCGGTTGAAGATTAACTCAGCATAATTTAAAACAAGTTTAAACATGCTAGGGCTCTTTTCAAAGTTATTTTTATAATGCCAAACAAGTTTTAACAAATAAAGCATCTTTTTGGAAAGACACTTCTAATGTCATTTTTAATTTTATTTAGGTGCTTATCCCGGTCTTATCGCAGAGCAACGCAGATATTTGAAAATGTTTTAATTCCAACAACTTTTTTTCGAATCAATGACCCCAAATTATTTTTTATATGGCAATGACTCTTGGAAAAAGCTATCAACAAATAATGTTACAATACTTTACTGTTAAATTATTTCATTTAAAAATATATGGCTAAAATTTCTTATAACTTTTATTACGATTAGCTATAAATAATAACTAAAGTGACTTTTTAAATTAAATGTTTTCTTAAAGAAGGAGAGTGCCGGCAAAAGTGTCACAAAAATCAAGCGTTGCATCGCGAAGAAAATTATGACACCATATTTATTTGAGGTTTTAAGTAAAAAGGCGTTATTAATCAATCAGTATATATATCTAAACTTTATATGAATATAGTGTGCATATTGAAATTTTGTTTTTAAAAAAGAATTATGCCAAGCAATTAACTTGTAAGTTTCACTTTTTTTTCTTTTTATTTATTCTATTATTTTATATTTTACTTTTTAAGATTAAATTTTCAAGATTGAATTTAGCGTGCAATATTAAATAAAGTATGTGCATCGTTATGATTTTAAATTGGTTTTATAGAAAAATAGTAATTTAGAACCTTTAATAATACTTCATTAACTAGCATAATTTATTTCTTGAAACGGAATTAAAAACAATACATACTGTGCAGTAATACTGAATAATATTTTTAAATAATATTATTCACTGTACAGTTTTACTAAATGTTATTTCCAATTTTTTGAATGCTTTCAGTGTTATATATTTCCCATAGTTATTGAGTAATTTTTTTAAAAAAGCTTAAATATGTAAAATTGCAATTTTAAATATGCAAAGTAATTTTATTATTATTTTGTCAAAATTAAATTAGAGCACAGTTTAATATTACTAAAGGTGGGCTAGTTAAGCTAATTCCACTAAAACTGTAGGTTTTGTAGGGGTTATCTTCATATATTTTTTATAAAATAATTTTTTTACATTCCATAGAGTTTTGCTTGATTTTAACGGTATTAAAAAATAAGTGTTAATTTAGCCTTTAATTTATAAATTCTTGGATAATTTTTATGTTGGTTTTGTTTAGAAGCTTCAATATCAAAAAAGAAACCAGGTTTTATTCCTAATTTTATATGAACTTTGCATTCCTGAAGCTCGCTAATGATAAGGAACATCTAAACTTTGTTATTAGAATAAAGCAAGAGTCCTGGAATTGATTTTTTGTTTAAAGACTCCTGAATACTTTTTTCCAGGTCATGGAGCTCATGGTTATCACTTTTTTTCAGAAATGATAGGTTACAGGGCTCATAGTTTTGATGTTTCCTGTTGATTTTAAAAGCTCTAAAACTGCATATTCCAAGTAAAAATAAAAATAGATCCATTTTTATAAATATAGCACTTAGCAGGGAGTGAAGTATAGTACAGAGTACAAAAACAGAGATTATTAGTAGAAAAAGAAGGGGTCCAGTGTTACCTAACAATAAAATTTATGGAATTATAATGTAAAATGAAATTAATATATGGATTATATGTTACATTATTAGGTTATGGATTATAAAAATGAAAGATGTATTTAAGTTCCAGTATTTGAATTCCAATTATAAAAAAGAATGCTAAGAGATTCCAATTATAAAAAAGAATGCTAATAAATTGTTAGATTGGACAGACCATTAAAGAAAATAACTGCAAAGAAACAAATTGGTAAATACAGTGTATTAATAACTGATAAAAAGATGCAGATTTAAAAGTGGTGATATCATTGGTTATTGATTTAACTCCAGCTAGTTTTGTTATTTCTATTTAGCAACAATTGTTTGAAGCAAAAACATTATATGTCTTATGGTTATATGTTTAGGTTTATTAAATGCTACTTTGTTTTGATTCTACAAAAAAAAGCTTTCAACTACCAAGAAACTGAAATAAAACATTAAAGCTTTAATAGAGTTTTATTATTTATTTAGTAAAAGAATTTAAAAGTTTGTATTGATAATTTTAAAAAATGCAAATTTCTAAATATACAAATAACAATAAGTTGTCCATAAGCAAAGACATATCAAGCATTTTTTTGAAAGCTTTTGTTAGCATAGTATTACGTTGTTCAGCTGCGGATGAACAAAAACAACAATACTTACTGAAGCATCTAAACAATGGATAAGTTCACAGATTAAGTAAATAAAGATGGTTTGGACATTGGTTTGCCCACCTGTAATTAGGTGTACTGGTAATACAAGCTAATTCTCTTTGTTTATGCTTGAATTAACAAATTGCTCCAGGCAGAAGCACATTAAAGATTATGCATACAACTTTAACAATGATTACGATTGTTGATGCAGCTCCTCAACACCTTTGATCACTTAGTCTAGCTGTGTAAAAAGCAACACAAGTTAATGATAGTGTCTAACTACATAAAAAACAAGTTAATTGGAAGAAAAAGAAAAATTGGCGAAACAATATTACTATAATAGGTATAAAACTTGCAATTGCTCCTGATGATTTTTTAATGCCAATGGTATCTGTTTATGAAAATTTTAAGGGTGCTTTATATAATGCTTTATAAAAATAAGTTTTAGCATAAAAACTTTGTCATATTGTTTTTGCAATACTTTTTTGTTTATGATTTGATTGAAGAAATATTTTTAGAAGAGGGGAATCTTTGTGAAATTTTAAGCCTTACAATTTTTCACTTTTTTATTGAGAGGTCTAGAAAACATGTAGGGGATAGGTGAAATATAAAAAATCTCTAAATCTTTGACAAAATACTTGATGGAAAGCCCCATATTTGATTCTAAATCCTGGAGTCATTTTTGGGACTTTGCATAACTGATTAAAAGCTATAATTTAAATTAGAAAACTAAAAAAAAAAAAAAAATTAGGAATAGGAAATATACTGTTAAAAAAAATCTAATGATTGGCAACTATTTTGATTTGTGAAAGACAAAAGCTGCGTGGATTAAAATGAGTTTGAATGCCAAGTATTCTTTTGATTTTGAAATCCAGATTTAAAAAAGAAAAAAAAAATGTTAACAAAATTTTGGTCCTTGAAATTTTGGTCATTAAAATTGCAGCAATGTAAATATGTTCTATTATTTTCAAGTTTTTGGAAAAAGTTTTAAAAATTATATTAACATGAGTTATATTAAAAGTCTTGAAATTAAATTTGGAATTAAATTGTTGAATCTTTACTTTAAAAGAGTATTTTCACCTAAATAGAAAGTGAGCGGGGCCCTAGCCCCGCTCACTTCCTATTTAGGAAAATAGGAAGTGAGCGGGGCTTCTTTCTTATTTTTAAACACTTTCTATTTAGGAAAGTTTAAAAATATTAAAACTATTACATACATTTATATATTTTTAAACTTTTGTTTACTTCCAACAAGGTTGTAAACAATCACTGTTAAGTTATGAGTTACTAAAAAATAGAGGATAGGGTTAAAAAGCTAGAAAATGGTTAGCTGAAGACTTAAGAAGTTGTAGATTGTATATAAAAGGAAAACATAAAAATGGGTAAAAGTTATAAGGACAGATTAGAAAAAACATTGTATTGAGTAATGTTTGTTAGAGAAGAATAAAGTGATTAAGGTATCACCATGTAGAGAGGTGATTAAATGGTAAAGGTAGAAGTAGGAAAACTTGAAGAAAATGCTTTACATATTGAATGAATGAGCTTTAGTTAAGGAAAGAAAGTGCTCTCGATTGTTTATATTAGCATAAATAAGAAAGGCTGAAGCCTGATGATGATGATGATGATGATGATGATGATGATGATGATGATGATGATGATGATCATGATGATGGTCATGATGATCATGATGATGATAATGGCAATAATGATTGTCATGTTGATCATAATTATGTTTACATATGCATATATATATATATATATATATATATATATATATATATATATATATATATATATATATATATATATATATATATACAAAATTTAACATGAATTTTGAATTAAAAAAGCATACTTTAGGATGTATAAATGTTTATGCAGCCCCGGTCACAAACCCGTCCTCAGCCTCAGCTATATTTTATCAAACCTGGCCCTGATCAAATTTCAAACCCGCTCGCTTCCTACACCCAAAACAATTGGGTGACTTTTCAAAATAAATTGTTTTTCAAAATATATTGCCTAAGAAAGTAGCCAAAACAATGTTAACAATGTAGACACACATATATAATACTGTTTATTTAAATCTCATATCCAGTAAGCTTTTTTATGTTATAATTTTTTTAATTTGGCATTTCGCACATTGTATCTCATCTCTGCCAGCCATCTTTGAAAAAAATATGTTATTATAAATAATTTAAAGTTATTACCAGCCATCTGATTGAAAAAAATATGTTATTATAAATAATTTAAAGTTTTTCAAGTTAATAAATTAATCGGATTAAAAGCTAGATGTTGGACAGATATAAAAAGTATATTTCTTAGATAACATGGTGCAAATCTCTATCAAAATATAACTAAATAACCTTAGTGTTTCTTTTTCAAGCACTGAATGTTGTGGTTATTCTCTGAAATTGTTGCTCTATCTGACCATTTTTAATTGAACAAATTTAATCTTAACATCATTTGTTAGTTTAGCATTAGTTTTTATGTTTTTATGCAAGTTATGCTCTCCTTAGTAGTACTCTTGTATTTATGTTTTTTATTATTAAAGATTTCTTTACAGCTACATACTCTGCGTTACTTGACTTGCAAATCAGAGAACTAGGTATTTTATTTTATGACAATCCCTAAAAATATAGGTGTAAGCTTTTAAAATCTTTAAACTTTAATGAAAGGTTTTTAAAACGGTTTTCTAATTTTCTTAGAAGGCTCGTCTACTCTTAAAATATTTTAGGTTGCAGGTAAGATACAGTTTTGTTAAACATCTATCAAAAAGTTCTTGTTGTTAAAAAATCTTTTATTTTGCATTTGAAAATTAACCTGCTAAGTGAAGCAGGCAGATAAAATTATTCAGAATGTTTGTTGTGTTACCTCAGTACTTGTTATTTAAATATGGAAGCTTTTTTTTTTTTTACTTTTTATGAGTAATACAATGTGTGTAATTAGGCATTTTTTCAAATGAGAAATTTAACGTCAGCATACACTATTAACAACTTTATCAACACATCAGAAGAAATAATGTTTCTATTGTGTTATCAGCAACTGGGGATTAATATTTCTAATGTGTTATTAGCAACAGAAATTATGTATCAAAAGGATCATGCTGCACGAAGCAGCATTTTTAAGTTGGATTTGCAATTGTAAAACTTTGCACTAAACTGGTGCTATAGCTTGGATTTAATTCAGTTAAAGATGTAACATATTTAAAGAAAATTTTATCAAAATTCAAGACATGGCGAAATAAAAAAGTGGTTTTTAAAATGAGATTAAGATGCAGGCTTTCAAAAAATAAACGTTACAACTACTAATATTATTTTTACAGTTTTTGATCTCAGCAGCATCAGAGATGTATCTAGTTAAAACTTTATGTTGTAAAATTTTCCCTGAATACATAAACTCTTACCAAGTTAAACTTTGTTAATTAGCAATATTGGTGAAAATAAGTAAAGTGCTCTGCACTGGCCATCAATGGGTTTTCCTAAATGTGGAGCAATTACTTGAAGCTGTTATATAACAACCTGCAAAACACTCCCACAATTCAAAAAGTTATCTACTTTTTGGTGTTGAGCAGGATACACCCTCATATGTAGGTAAACATTTTTGCCGCTCAAGGGTTGCATTCTCCGCTTTTTTTAAAACAGCTTTGTTTTAAGTTTTTAACCATTCTTTAATCATTCATTTCTTTTGGATTTTCTGTTTTGGATAAAACAGTTTATAGCTGCAAACTTTCTTTTATAGGTACCAGAATAAAGAAAGAAAAAAAAAAGATAAAGTAATCTTTTAAGTTGTAACATTTAATTAACAGGTATGTTTTATTGTCTTGTTTTTGTTGTTGTTTTTGTAAGGGCACATTAGACCTCCCACATCAGTTTATTACAAATAAATTGCCTTTTGATGAGCAAAAGTTAGCTTTGTATTAAATTTTGTATGGATATTTATTTTAATCACAGAGACTGATTAAATTTAAGTTTTCACATAGATTTGTTTTTAAATTACAAAGGATTTATGTTAATTAGTTCTCATAATTAATTTGGGGCTTAATGATAAGACTAAATTTTGGGGCTTAATGATAAGACTAAATTTGTCTTCTTCTAGCCCCGGTCATATAATTATTTTTTTTATAAGTTACGACTGTAAATTTTTTTTTATCGACAAAAGTGTAAATAAATAAAAAAATTAGTTCAAACAATAAGAAACTTTGATTTTTATAAGTTATTTAGAAAAATGTACCAATTACTAAAATAAATCAATCTAAAATATTCCAATTACTTGGAATATTTTAGATAGGAGTATGCCCTTGGCAAACCATTCCCCTTTTGAAACAAAAATGTATATGTTTTACTGCTGGTAGTTTAGGACAAAACAGAAGATTACTAATATCATACCGAAATATGTCAAAGCAATATATATTAGTGATTGACCCATGCTTGACTTTGACTAGCTTTAGGTTTAACGACTAGAAAGAATTTTAAGGGTTGATTTAATGTTTTTTAAATCATAGTTTTTTTTATTGCCAATAAAATATTTTTTAGAAAAATATTAAACTTCTAATGAACAGTTTGTTTTTAAGCTCAAAACTTCAAAAGATATTTATATAGCTGTAAATAAACTAAGATATATTAACCATTTTAAAGTAAGTGACATAGTAAGAAACTAGAGGCTGAAAAAACCTTAACTATTGGCAGATTTTTACTGTTAAGAAACTTGTATAGAAACAGGGGTTATCTTTTTTTTTTATCCGGAATTCAGTATATTTTTTAACTTTTAGTTAGTCAAACTTTTAGTTTTTCCATATATATCCAAAATGTTTTCCATACATACAAGTTTAGGCACATATTTTTATAATATATTTGTTTGTTTTTTTAACTTTTGCACTCATTACTCATACAAAAATTAATAAAAGTTAAAATAAAATTTAAAACATCTCAGCTAAAAGCAAAGTTAAGAGGAATATAAGGGAATATATATTACGGATTTTTTCCGAATATTTTACCCAAACAATTTTCCGGATTTTTAAAATATGACCTGAATAATCAATGATAGAAAGGAGATGAAAATTAAAATTATATTAAGTTTTTTAATATAGAAAACTATGTATAACCTTTTGTTAAGCTTAACTTTATTATGTTTATATAAAATAAATAACATTATATTTATCATGAATTATCAAATAATAGTTTAATGTCAAATCCTTATATACCGAGTTGATCATTTAAAAGTTAATAATTTATAAAGCTTTTTCATAAACTTTTATATATACCTTTTGGCTATAAAATATTTTTCATAAAGTTTTGACGAAGAAAAATTACCAAAAAAAAATACAAACAAAAATATTTTAAAACTAGTTTAAAATAAAATGAATTTCATTATTCAATTTTTTACTAAAAAACAACTTAAGTTTCCGTTTGCCATTTTGCCAGGATTTAAGCTTTCTTTTTTGCCCTATTTAAGTCATATAATCTAATCTTTTGTTTAAAATATAATTTTTTAGTCAGTTCTTTTTAAAGTAACTTGTTGGTTTATTCAAAATTTGTTTATCTCTAATTAGTAAAATTTTGTTTTCTTTTTCAGTAATGCATAGAGATTCAAATAAGAAGCCAGGTGTTGAAAGAAGTCCACCACGCCGTCGAAGAAGTCCTGCAAACCGTGAAAGTTTTTATTGCTCGTACTGTAAATGTCAGCTTTTAACTAAACATCTGTTAGAAGAACACAATCGCTCACCAGTTCATAAGCAGAAGAAGATTCTTATTGAAAAAGCAATCAGTGATGGTCTTCAGTTTTGCTACAGTTGTGAAAAAATATTTCCAAGTAAGATTGAGTTAGATGCACATTGTCTGATGTCCAGACATCAACCTTTGTATAGAGTTGAAGAAATGCACGAATTTCGCAAGCGCAAGGAAGAAGATAATGTTGAAACAGTATTGCCATATCCCTCCAATGAAGCAGAGAAACGCAGAATGAAAGAGAGTAAGGAGCGAAAAGATATTGTTTCAAAGCTTAATAAAATGAAAGAAAATGACCCAGATCAAGTGGAGATAGATTTAAGTTTTCAGGCTAGAAACGCAGTTTACTGTAAAGTTTGCAATGTTGACTGTATGAATGCTTCTAACTTCAAAATTCACATTGATAGTTGGCGACATCGCGCTGAAATGGAAAAAAGAGATTTAGTTGATAATAAAATAAAAGAAACCTCTAATGTCAAAGAAACTGAGATAAAACAACAAAAAGGAAATGTCCCCACTAATTTAATCAGTGTTATGCAGTACTTCTGTGAAGTATGTAGTGCACCTTGTACAAGTGAGGAGAACTATTTGAGTCACTGCAGAGGAAAAAAACATTTAAGGAAGATTTCCAGCATGCAAAGACCTTACAAGTGTTATACATGTCATGAAGATTTTAATGCTGAGAAACCTTATAGCATACATCTAGAAAGTCGCTCACATATGGAAAAAGCTTTCAAAAACCGTAACAAAGATGCATTGAAAACAAATGTTAGTAGTGAAGAATGGATAGAAAAACGAGACAAGGGAATTGAAAGTGAGCAAAAAAAAGATCATCAAAGGCGTACTTACAAAGATGATAGAAGAAAATCAATTGAAAGACATACAGATGAAAGGATGATGTCAAAAGATGAAAGACGTGATAAAGTTGAGAAATCAAGTTATAGTACCTCTAGAAAAATTGAAATTAGTTCCAGTGCTTCACAAGAAAATATTGTTGACCTACGAGAAAAATTAAAAGGGAAAAGTCCTCTTGTAGCTCAACCTTTAAAAGTTGATGTTCCTCCTAGTAACAATGTTATCATTGCTGATCATATTGATATGAATAAGCGTGCCATTGAAAAAGAACTTGAAGCTAAGTTTAAAAAGTTATCTCAGGAGTATGAAAATAATCTAGCTGCTTTAAGAGTTAGATTAACAATGGAGCGTGAGGAAGATATTGCAACCTACCAACGTTTAGAAAATACTTACAAGCGTTTATGTGAAGATGAGGACTTTATTAGAGAAGATTTGCGAGTCATGCAAGACAGTGATCCAAGAAAAGAAGATTACATACGTGACATGATACGTATTCAAGATGACATGCGTGAAGTAAGGCAGCAACTTGAATTCCGTGAAATGATGATCATCAAGAGAGAAAGTCTGTTTCGATCAAAATTCCCTAATGCTGATAATAAAGTAATTTTAAATAAAAATGATAACGACTCATTGATGTACCAACAAGTTAATAACTATGCAGAAGATGTGCAGCTTACAAAATCAAATACAAATATCAACCCTATTTTATCTGGGCCGTCTAAGGAGAGCGATGACCTTCGTTTAGAACTTGAGAGAGAAAGGTTACTTAAACGTCTTGGCCCAGAGTTAGAAGCAATTGATCCCCTTATTCGGGAAAAACTACTCTCGGTAATTTTAAACAAAGATGTATCACAAATTGATAAACCATCAGTAACACAAAGTAGTATGAAAAGCACAATGAAAGATGATAAAATTTCTTTAACTGAAAGAGAAAAGCAGTTAGAGAGTGAACTAGAAAAACTTCGAACAAAGACTGCACCAGTTGTAACTGAAAGAAAAAGAATAACAAAAAGTCTTGTGCCATATGAGGATGAGGATGAAAAAGCTGTAAAAAAGCCTAATAGAGATCGTTCAAGTTCTAATTCACGTAATAGTAGTGATAGTGAAGACTCGAAGCATGCAAAGAAACGTCATAGAAAAAGATCTCCTATGTCAAGAAACCGTGGGAGAACAAAGCGAAGTCGAAGTGCTGACTCTGAAGAAATGAGGAAAAAACGTAAAAGGAGCAGAAGTAGAGATCGTAAAAGAAAATCTTCTGGTAGAAAAAATGATGATCGAAAAAGATCATCTGATAAAAGGAAAGTAGAAAAAAAACCAATTAAAATGAAACTTCAAGCTAGGCAAACTCAAAATATGATTAAATCAGCTAATCCGCTTCCTGATGATAGTAATAGTGAAGATGAAAAAACTAATAATATCCAGAGTCAGCCAACTTCCACTATCCCTGTCATTGGTTCTAAAAACATCCCATTGCATCAAGTGCTACAACCACCTTATGGAGGTAATGTCCCTATTATTCATAATATACAACAAGTAGGTATGCATAATCCACAACAAACACCGAGTATGCTTAATTCTCAACAAATGGCAAGTATGCGTAATCCGCATGAGCAACAAGTAAGCATTAGACCAAATCAAGTACCTTCTCAACCACGAAGAGAGCAGTTTTCATTGTGGAATCGTGCTGCTGCACCATCAAAGCAATCTATAGATTCACCTAAAGAAGATGTTTGGGATATAGCATTTTCTGGTAACCAATTAAAAGAAAAGGAAATGAATGAAATTAGCAATATTTTCAGTGCCAATACAGAAATACCAAGACAATTACCAACTGAGATTTTAGATATTTTACGTAATGTTGCTCCAATGTTAAAAAATATGTCTTCTCCTAATACTCAACCTGAACAGTCTGGACATAAATTACGACAAAAAGTAGAACCACAGCAAAGTAAAACCCAAAAACATACTCAAGAACAAGAAGAGTCCTTTGCAAATAAAACTTTACAGACCATGGTTTCTCAAGAATCTGTTACAAGTGCTGGTGGTAAAGTACGCAGCATCTTGAAAAAGATAAAAGATCCTGTTCCTGCTATGTCAGGAGAAAGACGTGAAGAGGAAACTAAAACAGTTCCTACTCTAATACCTGGATTAGAGTTATCTGGAACTGATATTAAACGTGATGTTATAAAAGTAGACTCCCAACCAAGAGGTTTTGCAAATGAACTGCATTCTCAAGATGTAAATGAAGATTCAGCTTACTTGCACGAAAACTATTCAAATATTTCACGAAACCAAAGAGATCTTGGAATCAACTCTCGAGATAATCGAGATAATAATAAATATCGTTCACAGGCTTATTCTTCTAGCATGAATATAAATGATAATGTTGAAAGATATAACTCTGCTCCAAATTTTCGAAAGAATGAAATGGATATAATTGACCCATCATCTGGAGGTTTACATATGCCTAGTGGGCGTCATTTGGACTCATATCCATTACATGAAGAATCAAAACGTGGTAATAATGAGTATGAGCCTCATTATGGAGAATCTAGAGATCCATACCTTGGTGTTAATCCTATACCGCAATCTAAGTCCGCAAATATTCTTGAAAATAAAAGGCTAGATAACTTTCAAAGAGATAATTATTCAAGATACCCAGACAATTTTACTCCACCACATCAAGATCGTTGGGTTCCTTCTAGAGAAGTATCTTGGATAAGAGATAATTTACGGCAACCTCCTGTTGATAACTTCTTAATATCTGGAAGAGATGATCCTAGAAATCTTGCACCTAGAATTGAGCCTAAATGGATTCCAAGAGATGATCAAAGACTGCTTCCTCCTATAGAGGATAATAGAAACATTCCACATGGTTATGAAGAACCGCTAAAAGATTACTACCCCCAAGAACGGTTACCTCATTTAGATGATAGATTGCCTATTCGTCGTGATGGAGAAAGTGAAGATCAGTTTTATGAGCGTTTTGAGCGTTTTTATGCAATGAAGAGAGAGAGCGAACGTGATGGGGTAAAATTTCCTCCCCCACCACCTGGGTAAGCTTTTTTAAAGTTGATTTTTGAACAAAAAATATAGCTAAATTTAGCTGTTAATGTCAGTTTATAATATTTAGGAAATTTTTGTTTTTTAGAGTTTATTTTGGAAATTTGTCTTTTTAGTCCTGTCATTCATGATCCAAGGAATCTTCCTGATCCACGTGCAATGGCACGAGATGATTTTTTCAGGCGAAGGGAACAAAACATTCATCCTGAAGATAGGTTACAATTCTTGTTCATATAAGTTTATACAAAGTGAGGATTAGGGGTGCCTGCAAAAAAAGGTTAGCGGTTGAATGGTTCCTTAAGCCATTATTCCTGTAAATATTTCTAAACCTATCGTTTTAGTGTCATCATTTTAAGAATAATTTGGTTTTTATCCCTCCTAAATAAGACTTAATAAGATCCCTTAAAATTATGCAAGTATTACTCAAAAACGTTTTTTAAACAATACACTGCTCATATTTTTTACAAAAAGTTTGTGAAAAATGCTTGAATAACGATTAAAAAATGTAGCTATTGTGTTTAATACATGATTACAGTTACAGGTAAAAATAAATGTTTATTATAAAAGTGTATATTTCTAAAAAAAAAAAAGTAATTTTAACCAAAATGTGTTAAACAAAAATTATGTTTTCCCCTAAAGTTTTTTTGGAAAACTGGTGAAGCAATATAATTGAAAACAAAGCAATTACATATTCTTTCATGCTTACCTTAAACCGTTAGTATTAATCCATTTTGTTATTAATCGTACAAATTTTTCTTAATAAAATCAGTCATTTTGTTTTTCAAAATTCTTTGTTTACCATTTTTGCAATTTTTAGTCGACCTCCAAATTTAGATGATGTCTCTTAAATTGTGTGTAGTCGCTTCTTGTAAAAACATGATGAATTTCGTTCCATCAAACCTCGATGTGATCTAATTTTTTTTTCCTTTAGTTTGCTGGAAAAACTGGAGTGACAGCATATTTTGTGTAATTTTTTGTTAATATGACTTTTTGCATGTACTTTACTTAGCTGTTATCAACTAAAGTGCAAGGAGCATTTGGATGCAATGATATAAAGATTTATAAATATTTTATACTCGTAACTTGTAAATTCTGCTTAGTTGTTATTTATGTAAAAATATTTTAACTCAACCATAAATAATAACAACAATAATTACTACACGTGATGATAAGAAATAGGCTGCATTTATCTTATTGCATACAAGCTTCATCCCAGCACTACGAACAGTAAATCTTTTTAAATAGCCTTCTGAATAATTTAATGTCAGTTTGGCCAGTCCGTTTTTTTTTATCATAAAACTATTTATTTAGCGGCTGAATAAATAGTTTTATGATTAAAAAAATAAAAAAGTTTTATGAAAAAAAAGATCTAATTTGAATTGAAACTGTTGTGGGTCCCGACTTGGACGAGGGTTAAATTTATATGCACATGGGTGGCATCTTGCGCTGTTTTGTATTTCTTTTTGAGTTGTTTTTATTGATGCTACATTCTAGTTCAAATATAGCACAATTAAATATTTAATTTTAAAAGATTTAAAATCATTTTTTCCTTTCAGATACCTTCATTCTGCACCCCCTGCTTTTGTTGATAGAGTTGATGACTCAAGAAGAGGAAGACCTTTTGCAGGTTTTTATTAATAAATAATATTGTGTATACTGGTTAAAGTTTAGAATATTTTGTAAGTAAATGTGATTTTTCTAATATATTAAGATTACGATGATGTCAAGGCTCCATTAAAAGATGAACGTCAGCCAATAGATGGCGATCGAAGAATTCCCCCAAAGGAATTCAACCAGTACGACAATAGACGACCTTTGAACAAAGAGCTAGATTCATTTCCAGCTTCTCAACGTGTTATGGATAATCAAAGACCAGCAGAAGAAGTTCCAGTAAAGTTGCCGCATGAACTAAGAAATGAAGGAGATAGAAGAAATCATGGTGCTGATCCAGTTCGTGTTCCTCCAAATAATCATAACAATCAAAGGGGTCCGCCTGTTGATCCTTATGCTCCAAAGCAAGCTCCTCCACCAAGGCGTCCTTTTAATAAACCAAATTACTAATAAACAAGATAACTGCTTTTTTAATTAAGTTTTAGTGTTATCAAACTCCGATTGATATTTATCATATCATAAAGTTTGCTGTCCATAATATATCATACTTTTGTTTGCTAGTTTGTTCAGAATGGGTGGAATACTTAAATGAGCTCTTTACACTTGCAGTCATTACTTGTTTTCAAAAAATAAAGAAATGCTAATTACATTTTCAGTTCATTAAAAAATATATTTGATGATTGTTATTTTGTTACTTTTTCTGACCGACATTTTTAGTTCCTACTTTTAAAAATTATTAAGCATGTTTTCTGACCGACATTTTTAGTTCCTACTTTTAAAAATTATTAAGCATGTTTTATATTTTTAAATTGCTTTACTTTTATATTTCTTTAAATGTTCATTAAAAAGTAAAACGAAGATTTGCTTTTTAAATGTCAAAATTGTTCACAATAAATAGTAAAACAACATTAACTGTTTCAGTCATAGAAAAATGTGTTACATCAGATTTTTATTGGCATATATATTTAGGCAAATACAAAAACTACTTCGCGCTATAATCGTGATTTTGTTACATTATTTTTGTCACAATATTTTATATTGTGACCATTTTATATTATTTTGACAATTTATATTATTTTGTCACAATATTTTATATTGTGGTATATTAAAAAAATATATAAGAAATTTTTGTTTCTTTATTAGGCATCCATTTTTTTTTTTTTTATAGGACCTCTCAAAAATTGTTAAAAATTCTTGACAAATTTCTTGTGACCCATTATTTCTTTCAAAATAATTAATTTTTGTGATTTTTTTGTTAGGAAAGTTTTCTTAAACTAATCTGTTTCTCGACATTTTCATATTCAATCTATTAATCTTGCATAATTCCTTTATATCATTCAAAAAGGCGTATTTTATTAAGCTGGGAATTGATAATTTCAATAGTTTATTGTTTAAAAGGCGAATAAATAAATTTATTTTGCTTTGCTGTATGCGAGTTGACATTTTCTGAACTTTAAATAAAGTATAATTTTTACTATACTTAGAGACATTAAAAAAAACGGATTTAACCTGCATTCCTTCCAAGTTTGTCAAGTTTTTTCATTTGTAAATCTTTTTTCACAGAACTATAGACCGTGAGGAATTGCGAATAATTTATATAACTGGATAATGGAATTTGCATAGATCGAATCAGAGTTTGCGCTGTTTAAAAATATAATACTCTGTGTCAATATTAATTTTATTAAGAGTTGCAAAAGTTGAATTTTTTTTGTGACCCAGATAAAACCATGATTAGGCTTATCATGATGATTGTTTAGAGTTATCATGAAGTTAGTATTTTTTTTTTTTGGTGTATAAAAGTTTTTCGTCTTTTGGCACCCGAGCATACTTGTCCCGGGTGCCAAAAGACGAAAAACAAAAAAAATGTTTTTTTCAGCAAAAAGTAAAAAAAAGGTCTTTTCCAAGCAACATTTTGTTATAAATACTTTTATAATTAGTCTGAAAAATTTATTAACAATTTTAAATAGCAAATTTAAAAAAAAAAAAAACTAAATTAAATTTGGAGTGTTAAAATCTTATCGCAAATGAATGCCTACCCTCAAAAATGACAACAAAGTCAAGACTTATGGTGTCTCTTACCTACACCGTGCCACTATGCGTTGCTCTTATACAAAATGAGGAAATAGGCATATAAATAAAGAAGGACTTAAAATATTTAACTTATTTTTTCACAAGACATCAAATTTTTATTTATATTTCTACATTTAAAAGAATCATATTCGGTTTTCATTAAAAAACAATTTATTGTATTTTTTTCGGTTAGTCCGCACTAATTCTAGATTTGTCCGGAAAACTACACAAGTCCGGATGATTTTATTCAAAAAAAAGTAGGCGCCTATATTTTATAGAATTTTACAAACTATGTATATGAACACTATTTCAAAATAAACAGTATCATTGAATATAATAAACAACTCTGCTATCATATGATACTTGGCTCTTTGCATTCTTTTACAGTTTCTCAACATTCTATTCTAATAGATGCTTTTAATAACTTGTGGCTATGAAAATAGCCGTTTTTTAAAAATTCAACGCAGAACAGCTCATCAGTATGATTCTTCATGGTCTTACTTCCTAAAATAGTTAATTACTTGTTAAAATTTTTCTTAAATTTTTTTTTTTAAAACATAAAAAAAAAAAAAAAACGCAACTTTGAATTGTTAATTAACCAAAATTATGAGATTGCCTAACCAAAAAAAAAATCAATCAAAACTATTAACAATATTAATAATAAAACTATTTTACCTTTATTTTAAGCAGTTATCAGAAGAACTGTCACTTTGCTTTCTTAAACTATTTTGTTTTCACTCTTTTTTTATCCATTTTATTTTTTTTGCAAAAGAGGTACAAATCAGATGTCATAAACAAATAATTAGCTGTATCCCTAGTGTTTTCTGCAAAAGAGGTTAAACGAGCATGACCAATTCGAGCAGTTTTGTTTTCCTTATTTCTGGCTTCAATAGCACTCTCAGACAAAGAACCTATCGGATACTTAAAATACCTTATAAAAGAAGTACCATGAACTATCACTCTATGCACAGATTGTGACATAGGTATGGTTTTTAAAAATTTATCATTAGTTATGAGTGCAAATAGATGTTCAGATTTCTGTTTGAAAACCTTTATATCCGGTCTTGTAGTTGTTCTGTTTATATCAATGAGTAAATCTCGAAACAACTTAATCATTCTGATATCCAAGTTTAAAATTCTCCCTGTCACAATGGGGTTATTAAAAAATTTGCGAGCAACATTTCCAGTATTGGTTGTTCCACATCCTTTTCTGACAAAAGAAACCCTTATATTCAGTTTTATCTTGAATAAATGCTGGAATTTTTTTTTGTTTTCAATAAATCCATAGATGAAGACTGCAAATTCCAAGTTTCAAAACATGCTTGTTTAAGTTAATATTTTTTTTACAAATAGTTTTCAAGTTAAACTCCTTAGAATTTGCAAGGCATACATGGTAGGACTGAGATGAAATTCTTTTTTTAAGCATATTTGATACAACAGCGTTTAGTGTTTTGCCATCATTCATTGTGGTATAAATAGTTGACAAACTAGACTTTACTACAAAAGTACTTTCACCAAGTTTAAATTCAATATTCTTCAATAAAAAAATTTCATTTTTCAAATGTTCAAATTTTTCCTGAATAAAACTAGCAGTCTCTTTTGCAAAACAAAAAAGAAGATGACGGGTTGCATCTGGACTATTTGGAATTAAATTTTTCCATATTATTTTTTCTCCACTTCGGATCTCCAGCAGTACAAACACTATACTATACACAGAGCGATCATCTACACCTCTTTTCATAGTTGCTGAATTTTGAAACTCCGATTGATCACTTTGACCATCACCTCCTACTTTGCAAATAATTTGTACATTATCACGCTCTTCTTGTGATAAACTCATTATGCAGTTACTTTCATAATCCAAAAGATATTCAAACACTCTAGAAACTGAATGCTTTATCATAAAGAAAAGACTACATTTTACTTCGGTTTCAGAATATTCAACCTGTTCTGGATATGTCAATTTTTTGTATTGCTTCAACTTGGTTAAACCTGGAGGAACAAGATGACGATTATGAGTCACTATATTTTTAAATTCAGTCCATGTTCTATCTGTAAGTTTCAAATTACAAAGAGCTTGCAATGACAAATTTGAACCATATAAAATAGCCCTACCATCAGTAGAAGAATTAGATTTAAACCTTTTGACAGCATGTTGCAGTTCTTCCACCTCTCGTTCTCTAAGACTATCTGTTCTTTTACGCTTCATCTGTTCTTTTACGCTTCATCCTGTTTGTAAGCTTAATAAAAGACTTTCTAGGTTTTGGTGTACAAGATGTATTGACTGCAGATGATTTAGGCACTCTGCATGGTACACTATAAATAATAAAAAAATACATTGAAACATATATACATTTTGAAGGTTTTGTGAAACATAGTCAAACAATATGTATGTGTGTGTGCAAAATAAAA